AACTGGATATAATTTGATTCTCGCCATTGACAGGGTCAGCACTTTGAAATTCTGAATTTCTGCGTGTGGAATTTATTCTATTCAGATGTTGACTCCAGGAGCCATGCTAAGCCGTTGTTGGTGTTCTGGTAGAACCAAACCTGGCATGGAAGCCTCTCAGCGAATGACTGAATCATCTCACTGAAGTTGCAACAGGTGAATTCTTGATCACGATGCAGATTTATGCACTCAAATCGGAAGGAGAGTATGAGTCCTTGGAGGAAGTAGAAGGTGCCCTGGATTAAGTACCACTATGAAATATCATCATTCTAATGAGCGACTTCATGTCCAGACACCGAAAAGAGGAAAGTGAAGTTTTTGCGGATTTGTGCAAGCAGCGGAATGTCAGTTATGAACACTTTCTTCGAAGCATATATGAGTATGCCTAGTATAAAGAAGCTTGTGCACAGAAGTCGAAGATCTGTTTGATAATCGCATTGTCTGACTTTTGACCGTCCGTGATGGACGTTCGCATTAAGAGAGGCGCAGAGCTAGCAACCGGTCACTACCTGTTGTTGGCACCCTGCGCTGAAAACGATGGAGTACCATGCAAAGACTTGATTGCAGAAGCAACCCTGAGTATGAAATGGACGCCATCTTCGGCGGTTGAGTACTTGGATGAAGTTGTTAACTCCGAGCGATAACTAGAAGACTTCCTGAGGAGCAGCCGTCAAGAGATTTTAGTCCTTCCGTAGATGAAGTCACAGAAACTGTAAAGTTCTTTAAAAATGGGAAGGTGCTGGAATCGATGAAATCCCGTCTAAAATGCTTAAAGATGTAGGCTAACATGTATCTTTAAACTGCAGTTGCTGCGAGGACAACATCACCTGACATTCGAACTGGTGTGGTAGTACTCTTGCTCGAAAAGGGAGATCATACGGAGTGATCCAACTGTGAGGGCTCATTAACCCACTGACCAGGTCAGGTAAATGCTTCGGAAATGTCAGATAGGAGTAGGTGCCTCGGAATAGCGGACAACAACATCCTAGAAGAGCACTGTCGCTTTCGCCTAGGCCTAATCACCTTTGACCAGATCATGACTTCGCCTTAAGCCAGATTTTTGGTGTTTCTTGCTCATCTATAGGAACGAGTATTGGGCCATGATGTAGAATCAGAGGGCATGTGCACCTTGTGGGTAACATTATTTCACAAGAGTTTTCTTGTCTTCTTGAGTCAAACAAAACGGTGGAAGCTTCTTCCTCTCGCTTCCTCATATCATTCATCAAAGGATTTCTGAATCTTCCATCCGCCTTTGCCCCTGGGATGAGATGTTTTGTTTAGAGAGTAGACGGCAGTTTGAAAAGAGTTCATCATGCTCTCGAAGTGGATTAATGTGCACGGTAGTTCCCAATCTTCCTCACAGATTTGTAGTCGAATTGTTGTTCTTAACAGTGTTGCAAAGGTATGAAACGACCTTTCTAACTCTGTTACCATTTCCTCATTAGCCGACAATTTCAGGGTGCGAAACACTTCATTGACGAGGAAAATGCCGCCAATCGTGTACATGATCCTTTGCTTCGGTAGTTCTTCCTTTTACGCAGTGGGGAATGACGACGAATCTGGATTTACAGCAGAGAAGATATATGTAATTGACCGAATTTCATTCTCATTTTCTTCTACCCGCTTTTCATGAAATCGACATGAAATTCGAATGGTTTGGTGGTTTTAAATCAAGTTACATTTCTCAAACTTTTACAATACTTTTAACTTAAATTAGTAATTAGGTGACATTCTAATGAATCTATCAGGTTATCTTGGCACTGGATTTAAATTAGTGCTTATATAACGTATATATTCATTCGTATATTTAGAATAGTTTAAAAGTCAGAAAGTTGGCTACCGTTGTTAAATCCATGCGAGATTTGCATTAATCCTGCATTTCACAATGATGAACTCTTTAGGTGATATAATAGACTAAACTTGGTGTCATTGCCCCCATCTAGGAGAGTGGTGTTTATTCCCACCCAGGTCTTGCTCTCAACCAGGGGTATAGGAAATACGGGTAATTATTACGAGGTAATACAATGGCGCAGTGAAGTTGAAGTTATCAACTTACTGCTTGAACACGTTCGCTAGAGAATACGGTTTTCCTATAAGAAAAGTCGCACAAATCGTAATATGAAAAAATGTATAAGTGAAATTTAAAAAAAACAAATAAAACTGTCGAGAAGGGTATGAACAGAACTGCCGTAGCTGGCTTACTGATAGGCATTCGCATGACGGATAAATCATCCAGGCAGTTATTTGATGAGCCGATTTTGCGAAACACTTTTTGCCTGGATTTGCCTTTTGTGCTGCAAGGAAATGTCGTCGTCGTTTAATCCTTGCTCATAAATTCTTTTGTTCAAGCTGTTTCGATGTCAAGTCCGGAGGAAGAAACACACACCAGCCCAAACCCGTTTGCGCTTCTCTGCCAGGGTGGTGAAACTTTCCAAAAGATTGCTGCAAATCTAAATTCTGAAAAGTAAGTTGTAGTATATTTCTGTTGTTTGTTGTTTTTCATCTTCGTTTAAAAATATGCAGGTCGAAACTCTGCGTAAGTTGTGTCCGTCTAGGTAAAATCGTTAACTCATTAAATGAAAGCGCCTAAGAATTTTGTAAACGGAATATTTAGGATACCGAGTAGATTCGTTTTCTTTGGGTGCAAGAAGCTTGTTCGATTAGGACATTAGGAGTGGGATAATATGACCAGAATGAGGATCGAAATGTTGACCTCAGCATTATATCAAATTTGCTTTTCACGTAATTAAGATGCTGTTAAAGTAAATTTTGCGAGACTCCTACTGTCACTTAGAGACAGTTTATTAATGATTTACAGCCTTTGTCAGGCGGGCTTAAAATACCTACTTTTTTGCAATTCCTTTTCTCAGGCTGTACTAAGGTAGTCTGGCAAGCATCTTGTGAAGAAGAAGAGCATACCTACAAGGAGGATGTAGCTTTTGAACTCAACGTTGCGAGTACGCCGCTCTAGCCAGCTGAGCGACTGCCTATTTTAGGTTTCACTTCCCCCGGAGTCATCGGTAGATGTCTGGTCGTCGGACATGCCTGCTCTACTGCTCGTTTGATTCTTCTGTGTATTTAGACTCTCTATAGTCCTCTAGTCTAGGCATTAATTAGCGTAGCGTTTCAGTCAGTTACATTACTCGTTCATCCTCATTAAGACCCAAATTAGTCAGAGTGAATTTCGAAGATCTGCTTTACGCCTGCTGTTTTGCCGTTTCGAATTTTCAGGATTCTGTCGGTCTGTCTGTCAAGGTTTTTCAGTCGGTGGAGCGTCGGACTTACAGTTAGAACATGGCATATTCAAGTCTCGATGATACCTCTCATACTGCATCCTTTTTAGGTGCATAAATGAGTATCGCCTTGTCGAAAAGTGAACAACAGGCTGCAAGCTCGACATAGATTTTGACATTGCTTTTAAGATAATGCACGGCTGTGTCATGGAAAAGAGACAGTAACACGCAGTCACCGCATTATAAGCACATGAAAGGAAGGGTACCACAAACGGGGCTCATTATGGGAGTGTAAGGGAGTGTTACATTCCGTAACGTCAGAGTTTCCTCGTTTTCTGTCTTTGTTTGTATTTCAGGGGAAAAAGCTTGACCAAATCGACCGTTTAACTCGTCATGTCAAGAATGTTTACCAGGCATTGAAAATAATGTCGCATCCAGCCCGGTTAACAACGTAGCCATATTTATATTCAACTGAAGCTTTCACAAATGAGCAATTTCCTCTTTATGCTTTTGCGATATTTTAACATTTTCGTTTTTCAATAGCTGCGTTGTCATGTTAATCTGTTTGTTCAGCGTTTTAGTGCTTATGAAAGTTTTTCATAGCTAACATTTCTATTTTTCTTGTAAATCGATGAGAGCTTCATTTTTGAGCTATTCAAGAGAAGTTCTGTCTCTAAAGTGTGTGATTGTCGGCATAACGTGACTTCTCTTTACACGAACCCAATAGACAACAAAGATCAAAATCAAAAGAGACTAAAGCAGCAAACTGAGTGATGAAAATCAATATTCTAAATCGTTCTCCGTATCGCAAACTGATTCTGTATACAAAAAATTTCTTTCAGGCTAGTCAGGAATGTCCTGACCGTTTTTCCTCACACTGTGCTTAGAAACTCGTTTATACATCATGCTGTTTGGCAGTTCCTAGGAATGTAACTCTCTTAGTTCTTTAGATGATGAACGGCATATTATCAGATTTCACAGGATAGATCACCAACAATGAAACATTTAAAAAATTAAATAATGCGGAGTAAACTCTTTCCACGTTATTTGTGAATTGAGTTCTCAGATATAACATTCACATATAAAAATTAAACTTAGTATTTTTATGTGTATTTACTTTAAGTGTATTTATATTAATATATTAATGTATCACTCGAAAAGAGTTTCGACATATCACAGCGCAGTATTATCGAAGTTATTCATTGCAGCCCTAGAAGAGGTTTTCAGTACAATCCGTTGAGAAAATCAAGGGCTGAACATGATACTGTTTAACATCCTGCTGTTGCAGAGAATATTATCATCCTCTCAAGATCACCGGAGGAACTCTAAAGAACAGTCTAAGAGCTGAAGGCCCTGGCTTGAAAGTATGAATGAAAATAAACCCGAAAAACTCGATCATGTTTCATAAATGCGTGACCGCATTATCTGTTGAAGGTAGTACAGTTAGGCTTTGAAAACTGCAAAACTACGTCTCTTTTGGATATCTCGCCTCTTCAACATAGAACCGACTCTGTGAAATAAATAGAAGAATAAAAATGACATGGATAACTTTTGGAAGACGGATGATCGTACAATCCTGGAAACTGCCATTGTGCTACAAATGGAAAGATGTGTGCTCCCATAACTAACTCATGGGTGCTCTAAGCCTGAAAAGGGAATTCTAAGCCTGAAGCTATTTATAAACTGTAGGCTACGCGACGCAGCATGGAAAGATGTACTTTGGGAATTGGAAGAACAAATAAGAAGTCAGTGAGTACATAAGAGCGCAAATAGTCTCGAAGCAAGAGTGAAAAAGTTAAATGGGCAGTAGTTAAGGCAGATTGCAAGAACAACTGACAATCGTCGGATTGGAGAGACTCTACACTAGGTTAAAAATATGAGTTAACTGCCTGTTAGAATACCTACAGATCGATGGCAGGAGGTGTTGAAGTTTGCTGGATCCAGAGGGATAAAAATGGCAGAAAACAAGTCTATGGTTAAGTCTTTGAGAGACCTTCATCCAGCAGTGGATCAAGGAAGGCATATTAGGATATTTATGCATTAATATTTAATATGGTACATGGCGCTGGGTTGCTTCTTCAGTAGAGCGTCAGATTCAGGACAAAATATCTCGAGTTCGAGGCAGGCTCAGGACCCTCGTCTTTATTCCTTAGTTGATAAATGAGTACCACTCGGTAGGAAGGTAACAGGAGTGTGCACGTTGTGATTGCCACGTAGCTGTGGATCTTGCCCTTTAAATAAGATTTTCTTGGCTGATGGCGGAGAAACGAAATAATTGTCGCACTATGACCTTCATGAAATGAAAGGCACGATAAATGACACCCCTTGGGTAGAAATTTTGCGAGGGAAAGCATGGCACAAAGTAGGCGACATGAGGTCTATAAAAAGATTTCTGAATCTGGATATTTCTGTCGCCGTTTTCGAGGTAGCACCTCTTGTAGTTAAGTATTGAAATATTTCAACGCCTACAGTAAACAC